TACGTACAGAGACCATGGGCGTATTCCAACCCAGGCCTCTGCCATCTTGTCCCTACGTAAACCTTCCAGTATTGCGAAACCAGTTTCCAACTCTTGCATTCTCTCTTGTCCATACAGCGATCGCATAGATCATTCTAAATCTGGAGGCGCTCGACCTTGTCCTTGAGGGTGCGGATCTGGCCCATGAGGTCGGAAGCCTCGTTGGTGGTGATGCTAGCAGCGATGACGGGCCTGGCGACACCGCAAGCGCGGCCGAGAGCCATCTTGGAGGGGACGTAGACGTAGGGAACGTTCTTGTCTTCGCAGAGAAGCGGCAAGTGGAGGAGGATAGCGAGCGGGGAGGTGTCAGCCGCGAGGATGATCAACTCGCTGATACCACGGTTGAGGGTCTTGGTGGCCTCGTTGGCGCCCTTCTTAAGTTGGCCTGTGCGAAGTCAGTATTTGTCTCGTATGCAGTTCACACAGCGATATAATATAGCTTACGGTAGTGGGTAGCCTGTTGGACGAGGTCGAGGATCTCCTGGGAGAGAGCCTGGTCGGCTTGGGGCCAGGCAGCGCTGTTGTCTTCGGCCATCTTGTTGGAGGGAGGTTGAGATATGCGGTGAATAGTAGGGTTCACTGCTAAAGCTCGTCCGAATGAGGATTCCTGTGATGTGTGTCAGCTATAGGTATGCGACCGAAGCTCGTATAAACGATGACGGTGTCGGTAGGCGACGAGTGTCGAACTATCGAAAGAGAAAGCTATGCGACTTACACTGCTTGCTCGCCCGGGTTGAATTTGTGGTAAAGGTTGTGGTAGTTTGGAAGTTCGGGAAAATCAAAAAGTTCGTAGCTGCTAGGATTATTACTTGGCACACCTCACGTGTGGCGCTACTGACGAACTAGGTATAGGGCAAAACCGAGCGACGTCCAGCTCTTCGCCAACCATCGTCACCACTCCTCGACATCACAACCGCCCCCGTCGCCGCATCCACGACTCCCGTCCATCTCAATAAAGATCTCGACACCCTTCTAGACGTCTCGTCGAATACATACATCACCGCAAAGATGGTCTCCGAACTTTGGTGAGTGAACACGGAGCTCCCTTGTTGAGCATGCAGATAGCTCCAGCTTGCCTCTCTGGAGATAAGCTGGGCATGCGACTGTTACATGAGCATCGGAGGAGCTTCTTCGTCATCACCTTATACGTGCAATAGCTAACATAATGAATGCAGCCCCGTCTATGCTGTAAGTCCTCGGACCAACCTCCGCTTCGCCTCCCGACGCGACAGCACCGCGTCAATCCGTCTATCGCCATAGCTAACGAACAACTAGCCCTTCTTCGGCGCGATGGGCTGCACGTCAGCTATCGTGTTCGCCTGCTTCGGCGCGGCCTACGGAACCGCAAAGGCCGGTGTTGGTGTGTCAGCCATGGGTGTCCTCCGCCCTGACCTGATCGTCAAGAGTACGCGATGAACCGCTCGACAGATGTCGCAACGTATAGCATGCAGCTAACACGCTTCAGACATTATTCCCGTTGTCATGGCGGGTATTATTGGTATCTACGGTCTTGTCGTGTCCGTCCTGATTTCCAACGGTCTCTCGCAAGAGTCTTCGCTCTTCGCCAACTTCATCCAGCTCGGTGCCGGTCTCGCCGTCGGTCTGTCCGGTATGGCCGCTGGTTTCGCCATCGGTATTGTCGGTGATGCTGGTGTACGAGGAACTGCCCAACAGCCCAGGTTGTTCGTCGGAATGATCTTGATTCTCATTTTCGCCGAAGTTTTGGGTACGTCGCTCAAATTTCAACAAGAAGCTTGCACTAACATATGCCAGGTCTTTACGGACTCATTGTTGCCCTGCTCATGAACTCCAAGGCTAGCGACGCTCACTGCTAGACGATTACGCACGTTCGATTGCAGATACGACAATACAAAACTGCAACACTCAAGCAACGGCATCGATACGCAAAGTCGTTCAGCAATCTACGCATATGACGCGCAATATCCACATGCGCGGCATGTCTCACGTCTCCATGTATTATTCGAACGGACGGACAACGAGGGCTTCGAAGTTGAGAAGCGAGGTGGTAAATAATGGCATCGGTCGAGGTGCACTTGCGATCCATTTGACGGCGTGTATTTTAGGGTCTCATCAATTTCATTCTGCGCTTGTAAACGAAATGCATTGGTTTCTTTTAGACAATTTGCGCCCTAATCTTGTTGATGCCTGGACTGACGTGAGATAGCCGTGCGCAAGCTACCAAGTGACGCGACTGCGACCCTATGCCACTCTCAGGGCTGTAGAACGACCTTCGGATCATCGCGACCATACAGACGTCCTGGCGTCCCTGCTAGTTCTGCTGGCTCCCTACATCCCATCTCTACGGCTGCATTCCCACCATACAGTTCGCTGGGCGCCACCGAAGGATAATGTTGCGCTTCCAGGTTCTTCTCGTCGATAGTGCTTTGTGGCAGCTCCACAGTAGCAGCCTGCTCCTGCCGTCTTTTCCTCTTCAGCTTCCATGCTAATAGGGTGACCAGTACTATCAGTATAGCTATCGATCCTGCACCAACACCAATTCCTGCGCGCGCCCCAACACTGAGCGCTTGCGACGTGATCGAGTTGTCTGATCTTGAGGAGGCTGGATCTGCGCTGTTGCCTGGTGATGAGTGTGGGACGGGTGTTGATGTGCTCGCGTTCGATGATGCTGAAGCATTTGATGTCGGCGCGGATGTTGCGGATGTCAATGTCGATGAAGACGTCGAAGATGCATTCTCGCCCACGGTCGCTGCCAGTGTAAACTGTTTTGTTGCATCACTACAGCAGCTCGGATTCCCACAGCACCAACTATTCTCCCCACACTTCCTCACCGGCGCGTTCTCGCCCTGCCACTACAGTCCATCAGTACCATCAACTACGGTACAGCATAGACTACTTCACTCACCGTACTATTGTTACATACACTCCCCAAGCACTCCGCACTCTGCCACGTCGGATCCGTACACCCATTTCGCCACCATAACTTCACGTTTGCATTCGTTCCATCGAAAGCTTCGTAGTTTTGACACAGGCCGTTGCTTTCACATACATCATCGGCGACATTTGTTTGGCCCGCGCCTTGATGGTTGGTGCCGCAGCAGAACGAATCGCGTTCAGGGTCGCTGAGGCAGGGTTGGTAGGATATGTCGGTGATTGGGCTACCGTCGCGGTTGTAGCAGGTTCGGTTTGTGGATGCCATTGGAATTCGTGGATGGTGTTTAGGCTTGAGTCGAAGAGAAAAGAAGGGTATGGATGGCAAAAGAAGAGGCAGCGGTCGCAACAATGTGTGTTCTTCATCCTTGCTGTGGTATGATGTATTCCTTGCTCTGCAAGGGGCTCATTTTCGCAACTTGCCTTCACGGCAGCGCAGCCACTGTGCATAACCGCCGGAACTTTGGTCTCAGCATATGCGGCTCGCCATTGGTTTGTTCATCTGATCTTCATTTCTGCTTTCCTCTCGTGCTCTCACGATTCCGCGGCGCAGTGATTGCTCAAAGTCCACGGGTTTCTTTGCCTACCAAGATTTGCATTTCAATACCCAGGTAATCAAGCAAAGACTGGGTAGTAAAGAATCGATAGGAAAGGCTTCATATACCCCAGCCATACCATTATCTTCTCATGTCGCACTGTTCCTGCATCGATCCAAGTCCAATAGAGTGCAACCACAGACGGTTGGGTCGGAAACCAAGAGCGGACTAGCGTGAATGACCAACATCACGAAGGGCTCCTCCTTGCTTTGCGCAGATCAATCAACACATCATGATGTATTAACAGCAATGCATCTACCAATCGAGTCTTGAGAAATGATGAATTAGAAGAGTTCGAGTGCTGCTTGCGTCGTAGATGACCCGATGACGCTGGGTCGGGCTAGCTCCTTGGCGATCTTGTCTTCATCCCGCAGCTGCAGGAGTGTCCTCGCTATAACCATCGCCTTTCATCCCAGTACGACTCACCCACACCGTCGCGCGCCCGCATGCAACGACACTCGCTTTAGAATACATCGACTGGACAAGAATCACACGCGGAGCAAGGGCATCACACGATGGACGTCAGATTCGTTGAGTATCAACAGCCATAAGAAGAAGACAGACTCCGCAAGCACCAGTAACAGTGGCTGGCCCGTGCCGCACATTTCAAAAGGCCAGATTCGCACGTTGTCGACACTCAGAGGCCTGTAGCTTGGAGCCCATACTCTAGCTCGGGGTACTCCTTCTTCAGATACCGGACCATTTCATCATCATGATACTTCCAATTCGATCCTTTGGGCGGTACAAACCCTTCAATCAGCACCATTCGTGGTGACTCGAGGCTCAGATGCTGACCGGTGAATATCTGGCCCAGTCGCTGAGGTTGTTGAGCTGTCGGTAGGCGATGTAAAGACACTATCGTAAGATTTCTGAAAAAGATATCGAGCTGCCAGGCGATGCCACGAGGAAGGATATACTGGTGTCTTAGTGAGGGCGCGCTGACGATAGAGACATCGACGTTGTAGTGGCTGAAACAGCCGCGGTCCATCGCGCCGTACATGGTTAGCCTGAACGTAGCAGACTCGACCAGGTAATTGGGATATGGCGGTACGAAATGTAGTCCAGAAGTGTTGAGTGCGATGACCCAGCTACTGGTATCTCCGACATGACGCTGGGAGAGCAGGGTGTTCCTTTCTTTCTCATCTAAGGCGTCTTGACGTTTCAGAGGGAACATGTCGAGGCCTAACGATTCTGTGTCGACCCATTCGGAAGTGGTCATTTTTGTGGGGTGTCGTAAAAGATAACCCCTCTTGTCTATGAATGTCTCATGTGGAAAGACAGAATAGGCGCGATTCCAGGTGACAAGGTTGCTCAGAGAGGTCGATGAGGGCAGTAGCGCTTCGAGAACCGGAATCTCTGTTTCCACGATATTGACTTCGCTACACTTTCCATCGGAACTGACTCGACTCATTGTCACTCGAAGCTTCTGGGAGGGGTTAGCGAGACACGCGTGGATCATACGAAGTAGCCGAGCGCATTCGAACTTACTGAAAGCTCTTTATCCTCGGGCGTGGGAGTATCAAGACGTTCATAGCCATCTTTCTCGAGGAAGGTGCGTAATGCATCAGCATTGGGTCCTTTCTGAACAAGGAGGCTATACAGCCCAATTTTACCGCCAGTCTTTACGACCGGCTTTCTCGCCATGAATTCGTATGCGAAATTTCGTCCTATGAGGACGTTATGTCGGGCTTGAAGAGCGCGGAACTCGATGGGAGAAGTGACGAAGTGCTTCAACCGGTCGTTGATGTTGAATTGAGTGCGCTCCACCAGCTTGACGAAGCCCATGAAAGGCTTTGTGGTCTTACTGAGCGAAATGACGTCGGCTATGTCGAGTTGCGCGAAGACGGCATCCTGGACTGGAGCATATCGAGTTAATAAGTCCACGATCGGAGGTGTTTTCTTCGGTTGCCACCATGGCTTGACTAGCTTGAACAGACTCTTATCTCTAAGAGATACGACAGCCAGGGAAAAGATGAAGATGATCATGGGAGTCAAACAAGAAATGAAGGAGAACATATTGGAGACTTTCGACGTTGAGGTGCTCGTGGAGGAAGGTTGAGCGACAATTGGGGTAGAGTGTATATCGAGATGATCAGGGGCTTCTATATACAGGAAAGGAGTCTGAGCAGGAGCTGTGGCCTACTAGGCGCAACAGTCTTGCCACTATATTCACTACGCAGCTTTTTCCATCCGATTCGAGAACCATCAATCCAAGAACAAGAGTGAAGGAGGGTGCTAACCGAGTATACAATGACGCGTTTTACCTTGAGCGACATCGCTACCAAGACAAACGCGGATCTCCATCTACATGACCAAAGGCAAACGCAAACCGCGTCAAAGACGTCACAAGTACACTCTCCCCTCATCTTCTCTCACCAAACACGAAGTCACGGTGGAAAGCAAGCGTCTCTCACCTCGAGATTAGCTCCACCCACAGAGATATAAAGTCGTCTCCCTCCGTGCCTTCCCTCCTCTTCTCTTCTTCTCAACATAGACATTGAGGCAACTTCGGCAATATCCACACTCTACTATATCTTATTCGCTTCCTTCAATTCGAACCGACTTCTATATATCCTTTCCAACCTTAACTTACCAAGTTCAATTCCAACATCAACAAGATGTCAAGTCCCTCAGGAAACCAGCCTTCCAGGCGCGGCGGCGCTTCCTCATCTGGTAGCCCTTACAACACTCCTCGCCATGGTCGCATTCAATCCCGCACTGGAATTGAGCCCCTATCTCCGCCTCAAGCTCAGCAGCCCTCTATGCCCAACCACCGCGCTCCACCAACAGTCCACCATCTCCGGGAAGAAGAGCCAAACCCCCTCCAACGCTGGAACGGCAGTTCCGTAAGCCCCTTCATGCGCTGGGCCTACGCAGTCACCGATGCCCGAGGTGCCGTTCGTCCCAACTACAACTACGATCCGGACATGAACAACGCCATCTATCTGAGCGAGACCATCGTAAGCACTCCTCTACTTTCTCTCCACCCGCACCCACACCCCTAGCAAACCCACATACTAACACCACCCCACAGGATGACTTCGACCGCAACCCCTCCCTCGTCCACGAACTCGTCCTCCGCATCGCGAATCCCGACCTCGGCCATCCCTCCATGGACTGGATCCGCGCAAACCGCTCTCTCGTCGACATCCTTCTTTACCGTCACTACCAGCGCTACGGCGGTTTGATGTTACCTCCAACGGCGGCAGCACTCCAGGCCATGCAGCAGCACGAGGCCGCGATCGCTGCTGCTAGGGCCGCTGGAGTCCACCCTGATAACTATCCACATATCATGTTCCCGGCCTTTGGTCCGCCGCCGCCGGGTGAGGGCGAGGTGGGCTCGCCTGGAGGGAAAGGTAAGGGCAAAATGACGCCAGGGAAGCCGTCAGGATCGCCTCCGGGTAAGGGTAACCCGTTTGGTAGTATTGGGGATAGGGGTGGGTTTGGCCGTGGAGGTCCGAGTGGTGGTGGGGTTTACTATTGAGTAAGTTGTACATCTCCTGGCTAGGATATGGCGTGTCGGTTGAGGTTTTCGAAGACCTTTGTGACTTCCTGGCTGCCGTATAGCACTGCTTTGGAGGGCTACAAAAGCTTCGAGAACCTTCTGGCTACTCTATACTTAGCTGGTTCGAACACTTTTGATGCAGCCTGGCTAACCTTGAGTAGTTCTCCGGATGGCGATATAGCGGTATAAACGACATAATACTTATTACTAAGACGACTTGAGATGGCTTGAAGCTGGGCGGGCATTGAACGGGATGACTTCGTGTATTAGAATGGGACGACTGTACGGATATACATGGAAGACTAGAAGATGAATATTGGAATAACATTCGAATCATTACTATCATAAGACTATTACCAAGCTTTTGATATCTACAACCCACTCTTCTCGTTCTTCTCGTCCCTAACACTAAGAGTCTCAACATTCTCAGCATCGCCGACCTCACGGCCGCCCACGTACTTGCTCTCCTTCATATTGTTCATAGCATCTTCCTGAGCATCTGCCTTGCGGAAAGTGAGGTAGAAACCAATACCACCGAACATGGCAACAACAGCAACGGAACCATAGTTCCATACGAGGAGAGGGTCCTCAGACAGACTGACAAAGGCCTGACCGAGAGCGGCGGAGACAGCGGAGGTGGAGAGGGCAACGGCCTGGATGGTGGACTTCATGTTGTTGGGTGCCTTGGTGTACGCGTACTCGAGCTTGGTGATGGAAGCGAGAATCTCGGACATACCGATCAGACCGTAGGGGAAGGCTTGGACCCAGACGGAGATGTCGGCGTTGCAGTCTTTGCGTTCCTTGCTGAGGGCGTTGATGTTGCTGCCACAGGGTGACATCTTGTAGATGTAGTATTGGATGACGCAGGCTGACACCATGGCGAATGAGGAAAGAGCGAAACCAGCAGTGATCTTCTTGATGGGCGAGAGGTTGACACCAGCCTTGCGGAGAGCGGGGTAGACGAAGAAGTCCATGATCGGGATAAGGATGACGATGAAGATGGGGTTCAGCTTCGAGACAATGTCGTTGGGTGTCTTTCCGAGGTTCATGGTGTTGGCTTGGGAGACGAGGTTGTTGGTCATTTGGTTGTACGCGAGCCAGTAGAGAGGGTACCACAAGAAGACCTTGCAAGCGAGGATACCGCGCTTGACTTCGTCGACCCAGGCATCGTCAAAGGTCATCCAGTCAGGGACAGCCTGGCCGCTGGCACGGAGAGCAGTAGGCTTGACCCTGTCCCAGAAGCCATCGTCCTTGAAAGTGTTCTTGCGGGGCGAGTTCTTGATACCGAGGCCGATGAGCTTGAAAGCCTTGCCCATGACGGATCCAGTGGGTGGCGAAAGCTTGTAGTGCTTCTTCATCGTGATGAGAATGATGGGGCAGAGGAGGTAGCAGATAGTGGGTAGCGTGTAAGAGAGCCAGAAACCGACGAAATGCTGGATGGCGTTAGTGAGATCACACAATGCAGTCTGATTCGGCACATACCTCTGAGTAAACCATGGCGATGGAACCGCAGATAGATCCGCAGTTGATCAGGAAGTAAAAGTAGATGTAGATACGCGCAGTGGTAGTGGCGGGGTCGACAATCTCCTTCTGTCCATTCTTCCTGACACGGACGTAGGCCTTTTGATCCTTGTATTGTTCTGCGATGAGTGGAGAGATGTTACTCTTGAAACCACCAGTTCCGAAACCCATAACGACGAGACCGACAGCGAAGACACCGATGGCGACGTTAGGCTTGACGATAACTGCGGGGATAGCAGACATGATCAGAATAATGTGGCCGATAAGAGCGATAAGATTAGAGTACTGGATGGTTTTGTAACGTCCCCAGTACTCGTCAGCGAGCCAGGCACCACCGAGAGGCGTGATGTAAGACCAGAACTGGTTAAACATGGTGAGACCGGTGGAGGCACGTTGGCCCATGTCCAGAGCACCAGAACTGACGCCCTTCTTCAAGAAACCAGCACCAGTTGTGGAACCAGGAGGCAATGGCTTTTGGATGAAGTCTGGTAAAAGTCAGTGTGTGCCCAGATATACGGGCTATCAATCAACAACTCACTGACGAAGACAGCGCTGGTACCGTAGTAACTGAAGCGCTCAACGAACTCAACAGCAGCCACAGTCCATGCTTGCCACGGAATGCGACCAGCAACCCTGGGAAGAGTCGCCCATTCCTCTTCAGTAGGGAATGGACCCAAGAGGTTGGTGTTCTCGTCAAAAGAGCCAGTGGAGCTGGTGTCGAGCGGGATAGGGTCCATAGCAGTGGCGCCCTTGGTGATCTCAAGAGACGCCTTGACGTTGGTGTTGGCCGCCATTGTGCTGAAGGGAACTTGAACTAAGTTCAGGTAGAACAAAGGTAACAAGGTACGACCGCGAAATTGAATGCGCGGGCGGTGGAATCAAGTAGACGCAACGGGCGATGAACTTGAGTGCCTGCGGTCCAGACAGGTGTACCATGCCCCTCTTCATATACACCCAAGCAAACTCCAAGACCGAAGCTCTGGACAAGAGTTGCACAAGGGTCGCACGCGACTATCGAGCGTGTCCACTCTCGCCATGGCATTTCGTTCGCTCGGTTCCCGCGTTATCACAGCAACATGCACATAACAGCCATCCAAGACCATGGAACGGCGCCTAGTCCGGTCGGAGGATCATACAAACCAGACCTTCAGGCATACTGCCGCACTTAAGCGCGTTGGTTAGAGGCATCCAAGGCCGTGGTAGCCCCAGGATCAGGATAAGATAGGAATGAGCAAAAAACCCGGGCGCCAATACGAGCAACCAGCCTTGCTCCATGGGCGCGGCGGAACGTTCGAAAAAGACGTGCCAAGCTGGGCTAAGCAGGAAAAGATAACGCTCAGGGAAGCTTCCCATGCGGGCGCGCAGGACGCGCCAAGCCAGTATCCATCTCTTGGTCTTGTCACCTCCCCTTCTGGCCCTAGTCACGATTGCGACGCGCCCGAATGGATCTAGGATCTCCGCCCGGATGGTAGCCAAGGCCTTGGACGTAGGGTTATCAGTATAAGCGTTTCATCACGGTTACCTCCTTCTGCAATGGATCACGCGCGAGATGATGGCTGATGGGGCGTGGTTGCGACGGGGCATTGGAAAGTTGGAGAGGTTGGTGTTGAAGCGGCGGGTATAATTGGTGTTCAGATAAACCTCACGCTATCAATGAAGCACGGACCTGCTAGCGGAAAACTGGCGGAAGGCGTGGCGGAATGATCACCGCACCAACGAACTTCTTTTGATTTGACATGTATCGGTATCTACTTCCGAGAGGATGGAGGTGGTGACATCCACTGAGGCGAATTACTATCAGATGCCGACCACCATTTTTCCAAAACTTTTGCCCTTGTCTCTTCTCTTCTCGGTCTCACCGAAATCTCACTTGCCGGAAAAACTCGTCTCACTTCCAATCAGCCGTCCCGGATCAGTTGTAGCCATTGTTGGATCCTGCTGGTAGTCAGTGACATGGGCGTTGCAGAATTGATTTGGTGGGTATCCGAACCTGGATAGAACTCTTCCGCGTCTGGGCGAGGCACATGAGTGCTTGCACCTGATCCTGAAGGTGGTTGCTGAGGACGACTTGGAAGACCTTGAGACGGTGCCTGGTCTTGGCCTTGTTGACTTCCTGAAGATCCGCGACCACGTTGAGCAGTTTGTCCTTGATAACCCGGAAGGCCGACTTGCTGCTGCGGCATTGTGAAACCGCTGCTTGCTCCCGTCTGCGAAGAGTAGTCTTGGTGGCTGGAGTACATCATCTGGCTACCAGTCCAGCCACTAGGATACTGCTGTCCTGGGTTGATGAAGGGCTGCTGTTGGTAAGGCTGCATAGGGTAGCCACCCATGGGCGGCGCAGCCATGTAGGGACTACCATACGCATACTGGGGATTTGGGTAAGGATAGTAGCCCTGAGAAGCATTAGGAGCGAAACCAGACGGCGTCTGTTGCATGTTCGGAGGAGCATTTGGTCCTTGACCGAAACGACCACCGCGGTCCGAACGTCCAACGAAGTCGCCACGAGGCTGCGAAGGCCGACCCCTTCCACGACCGTTTCCGCGACCATTTCCACGACCACGCTCAGCCTGAAGGTTGGCCAGTTCCCTCTCCAGTGTCGCATTCCTAGCTTCAAGCACCGCGACAGAAGTCGCGCGCGCTGGGGCAGCTTCAGCCGGAGATGCGGTTGACGGCCTAGTACTAGTATGGCCTGCTCGAGGGAACTCCGGACTCGGGTTGTCTCCCAAGGAGAAGAGCATGTACGATCCGTGGACGATGGCGTGGCGGACAAAGATACGCAGACAGTACTGGCTGCCTTGCTCGGTGACGGAAATGAACTTTGACATTTCCGCAGGTGTCAAGAGTTCAGAGTTTAGCAGGCATAGGCGAAGACGTTCGATTGTGAATGGGAAGTCTTCGTAGTGTTCCTGGGTTGTATACGTCAGTGCTTGTAATTAAGAGATGGTGGCGTGGCTGTTGGGTGTCCCAGGTGCACTTCACGTATTTTCCCGCCGTTGTGTGGCTTGGCGGGAATGCAATGTGTGCTCTTGGGTCGACTGATGGGGAGTAAGTTGGCGTTCGGGTTACTTACGAGAAGATGCAGGTTTGACCTTCCGAAAACGACCTGGCGGTTCCAGTCCATTGTCGTCCTGCGCTCCTCTGGGTAGACGCGCTGAAGGAAGGGGATGAGTTCAGCGTCGACCCAGTCTTGGTCGATTGGCGCAGGTGAGGAGTTGAAGACAGCAGGAGGGGTTCGGCCCGTCATTGTAGTAATGAAGGTAGGGTTGAAGGTGGAGGGAAGATTGAGTCAAGTATCAAGTTGAATTGTAAGAAGGTAAGTTATACTCGACTACAGTCAAATCGCGTAGGTGTCGTGTGTGGAGAGGAAGAAAGAAGTATACTCCTGACAGTACCAATAGATTATATACGCACTAGCAAGTGAAGGACCCAGCAGGTAGTCGCATTGTTTATCTATTTATCTTGCTCACTCCCTCCTTCACTTTGTTCTTTCAACGTCATTCCCGCAGTCACCCGCGCCTTTTTGCTCACTTGACGAGCACGCAATTGCTTGCGTCGGCGCCACGTTAAGTCCGAGCAAACGCAGTCCTTTACTGCGACCACTGCCTCGGTTCTTATCTCCGGTTTTGGTGAAGGAGTAGTTGGAGAGTTGGTCTTTCACTATTCTTGGCATTAGTGAGGAGGAGGTGAAGGACAATTGACGGGATTCGTTATATCCGTACGAAATCATGTCCCGGTTGAGAACGATCGTACATATGGAGGGATGCATAAAGCCTTCTTTTCAGGGACCAATACATGATAAGTCTTAGAACAAAGAAATAACGTTGGTATCGAAACTACACTCAGAAGAGAAGACCGACTCTAGGAAGAGAGTAGGAGTAGAGGACCTAGGTCAAGAGAGAAGGAAAAACAGAAAGAAGATAACCCTGGCCCACCCGATGTGGCCTTTTGCCCTTCATCAGACCCCAAATCTATCCCTACCGACGCGTCAAAGCGCAAAACTCCGCCTCCCCCTCTCAACATCCTCAATCCACTCCCTCAACCCACCCATCCTATCCTCCTCCAGTCCCTCCGCATCCCTCCCCCCATCAACATCCGTATCCCCCCTCCTTCCCCTTCCCCCAACCATCTCACTCCTCGCAAAACTAACCCTCGACCCATTCCCTTTCAACTGGCCCAGCCTACCCAGCGCACTTGCTTTCTAAGTCCCAGGATTAGGCGTCGTACTGCGATCCCTCCTGAGTAACCCCCTGCGCTCCGCGGTCTTGGGTCGCGGACTCACGCTGCCGGATGGACTGCCTCCACTCTCACTAGGCGTGAAGCTACTGCGTATCGATACCATACCCTTGCCCACACCAACGTTTTGCTCTGCGCCGCTACCCTGGTCTGAGATGGTGAATTGGGTTTCACCCAACTCCTCGTCTCTGCCGAATTTACTGTGGTCTTTGACGACGAGTTTGAAGAAGGCGTCGGCTGTGCAGTTTGTTTTGAAGCTCTCTTCCGAGGGGTCGAACTGGACGGAGCCTTGGGGTGCTTTGATGTGGTCGGTCTTGTGGATTTCCTTCTTGCCGAGCGAGATGTGCACGCGCAGGTTGGTACCGGCAGGGAAGCCGTCGGCGGAGAGGACGGTGATGTTGGCGGTGCCTTGTTCGGCGCCGCCGGGGCCGGCGTTGTCGCCGAAGCGGCTGTGGAAGCTTTGAGCGCCCCAGCTGCGGTGGCGGTTGTGGTTGTTGGAGTCTTTCGTGGGGGTGTTGGGCTCGCCTTCGATGGATATCATGGGTGTGTCGGCGGAGGGACGGTCGGATGTGGAGGGGCGTGCGAGATCTTCTTCGTCGGGGGCTTCACCGCGAGACTTTCTGCGCTTGAAACCGCGACCTAGGAAGGTACCTGCGCGGACTACGTTGCCACCGACAAAGGCCGCTCCTTTACCAACTCCCTTGACGGGCGCGCCAATGACTTTGCCGGGGACAGCAAAGGTGCCGGAGAATGTACTGGAGCCTTGACGAGATCGAACGACGTAGTCTGGCTTGAACAACATTCTAAGTCGGATAGCGCCTGACTTGCCGTCGAGGGCAAGCGTAACTTCTTGTTGTTGGAAGGGCTCGAGGATTTCCAAGTTGATAGATGATTTGCCGAGGAAGTCGGCCTTGTCACCGAAGTCCCAGTCGTAAACGTTGACAACAAAGTCCGCGGCCGTTCGACTCCGTACAGGTACTTCGAAGTACTCGTTCCATGCCGGGTGGAGCGTCTTCTTCTGCGTCTTGGTCTTGTACACCTCCTTGTCGTTGAGCATAAACTTGCAGTAAGGGTCCGAGAAACCGTTACGGTCTGCAGCTGGAAGATCTGCCGCATCGAGCACGTCGACTCGGAGCGTACCCTGGTTGTTGAAGGATTCGCTGGGATCGAGACGCATCTTGACGGGAATATACTTAAGCATAACCGTAATCTTGTTGTCGCGTCCGTTCTTGTCTTTGAGCGTAAATTGAGTGGGCGTGTGCAAAGACCTTCGTAGCGTATCAATCGTGTTTCCTGTCAGCTTAGCAATGACGTGATCTCCATGATCGTCGCCGTCGTTATCGATGTGCTCGATAATTCGGAGGGTGATCTTGGAAAAGTCGAGCTCGCGGATCATCGTGTCGCCAACTGCATCCCGTTAGCTTGGTACATCTTGAAAGACTTGACACAACCCACCATCGTTGAAAGTCATCTTGTTGCTCCGGATCTTCGTGCTAGAATAGCTGGCATACGCCATGTCATCCATAATAACATCGACGTGGCCACCAGTCCTCGCGAATTC